GGCTGCCTTACCGGATTAGATTCAAGTATTGTTATATCCAACTAGAGAATGGAGATAGCTGTTTTAGAAATATTTTCTGCATTTACATGGATTCCCAACTTGAGAATTTCCTACCTAAGCAGCTGTAATTCATTTTTATCAGGGCCAACGCCTATTGTTCAACCCTGCATTTTTTTTTGACTTCTCACCCAATATCCTGGAGCGTCTGGAATATTCTATATTTTATTACCCGCCCAGCCCAATCCATACTAATCCAACTCCTTCATAGGTGGAGCCCCCTTGTCATGGGTTTTTGCAAGTACTATTCACAAGACACACTTTATATATTTAATTGTGTGACCGTATATCTTGAGACTTAAACATGAGACCTAAGTTAAACTGTTTTAAACCTTTAATTATTTTAGACAAGCGTGTTCAACCCTGCATTGCTGTTCCGTAACGTGAAAATTTTGGTTTACTTTTTAATGGCCCAATGCTATGAACACTAGGCTTAACAATACTCTCGGGCAATTCTTGTATTTGGGCAGCGATCAAACCTCCGCAACTGTTTTTCCTTACTTCCAGGGCTGATACTGATATTTCAGACACATGATGCCAAGTATGAGGAATCAACTCTATTGTTTAATGTTTATAACATGTAAATAGTACGCAGTGGTAGAAGTAGACCCAGAATGAGACGGATTTTTTTTTTTTGGGTTTAATGATAAAAATTAGGCATCAAAATATTATTTCAATAATAAATTATTTTATATAGTAATGGAAGAAAAAATTCAAAAAATACAAAAAAAAAAAAAAAAGATAGTACATGTTCACGTATCCAAAATTATGGACCACCATTGGGAATAAAAGGGATCCTAATAGTTTTGGGGGAAAAAAGGAATCCTAATCAATGAGAGAAAGAGAAATAATATGGACAAGGTAGCTGGACAATATAAGGAATAACGCATTAATTTTTTTTTAAGAAAACCCTTCTATATATCCAACGTATTAATTTTAAAGGGTCTATTAATGAAGGGAAACCCACATTACTTTTTCTTGGTAAATAAAGATTAGGCAGGACTTGAATAAAATCAAGTTACAGCCCTAGCCTTCCTATATGACCAGGAACTTCACTATTAAACAACATGTATCCACCGTTGGCAAGCCATTAGGCGATGTTATCATGTAACCTACTCAAGGCATAACTAACCATATCTCCAACAAACATTGTGGACTTTGGGGTTGAAGCATTTAAGAAGCACGGATCAAAGGATCAGGGGGAGTGTGGGTTTGGGTTTTGTGACTGTGTCGTGACTCTTGTGACTGATAGAAAGGTTTGTCATTTGCTTTATTTTATCTATTGATACATGATATTACCCATGGAGCGATGACTTTAATTTTGAGGTCATTAACGATAATTAATTTCTCAGTATGATTTCTCTGCAGAAAATGATCATATACTCGTTTAATAAAAATCAGGGAAGCTAACAATTTTATGATAACTAATATACCAAGTTGCGAATCAATATTAGTAGATTATGTGTCATGAACAAGTAAACAACAATCCATATATCAGTAGGGTGTGGTTGTGTTCCAAAACATAATCTGTCTAATTGCACGAAAATAACTAACTCAATCCCATATTGTTGCGGGTCTCGGTTATATGCATAAACTAGAGCCTTTTGGAGGACAAATACCTCCATAATAACATAGCATTACTTCAATGACTCTGAATTTTCATAAATGCCATACATCAGCCAGTTTATCAAGTGATTGAACTTTGTCATATAGGGGACAAAAAATGATCTTTTTAAAAACATTAATTAATTTATTAATCTAGCTAAACACACACACATACACATATATATATATATATAAGAAAATATCTGAGTAACTTCATTCGACTAAAATCCAGCACTCGCATTTGCAGCTTGCAAGCGTATATGACACATTCAAATAATTAGTCTCCTGAATCTGTAATTTTTCTATTGTTGATGCGAGTCCTATAATTTTAAACTGTTAAGGGTGAGCAAGCCCACAAAATAATCACATGCTGAACAATCTAAAACCTTCCCTATCCTAAGCTAAACTGTGAATGAAGAATTCACATCATATTCACAGCCCCTTTTGAGCATTGGTCTTCACTATCACTCACTTCTCACGTCTTTTCTGCTCTAGTGTTTGTTTCTGCTCACAACGACAGAAGCAAGGCCACAAAAAGAATGGCGAAAACACACCACAATTGAACTGGTCTCATACCTGGATGCCCAAAGCTCGAAAGATTTACTGCTGCAACAGGGGACACATCAACCTTAGGTGAATCACATGCTCCGAATGTTGTGTTTTCCTGCCAAAATCATCCAATTATCACAAACTTTTAGGTGACACGGATAGAAGACAAACAACTTTTTGAATAGAAAGAACAATTTTTTGTCCTTGGAATTTTGGTCAGTTCAAGTCAATATCCTTATAGTGTTTTGATCAAAGAATCGGTCCTTAGAATTATGGTCTGGTCAAGGTCCCTGGAGATGGCGTGTCGTTGATGTGGTAATGACATACTACTGACAAGGAAATGATATTTAGTCATAATACGAGAGACTTTGACCAAAATTGACCACAACTTCAGAGATTGATTCTCTAATAAAAAACTACAGAGATATTGACCCAAGCTAACTTCAAGTATATGGACCAAAAGTCATGTTCTCCTTTTACATAATATTCAGTTGTGACATATGTAATTGAGTTGTGTATCTGAGAATCTCTTCATGTATAAAGCGTCTTGACACATCCTTAATTTCATAATGGGGAAAAACGAGAGAAAAGAAAAAGCGAATTTTGCAGGTACATATGAGTTGAAGTAGAAATGCAGGCAAAACCTTGCAGGAGGAGATGTTTCCACATCCACATACTAGATGACCGTTAGCTACATCGACTGCTTCTGGAGCTCCACCTCCATCACTTCTCTGAAACAGGGGAATGAACAGAATTTCATTGTGTTTCACTTAATGATGCACACCCCCATTTTCTATAGCTTCAATGTTTGATAAATTCTTACACAGATTTGGTCCAAAACAAATAAACAGATAAAGCTAATCACGAGGAGACATGGTTATGTGTCGGAACCGAGTCTCATGGGAAATTATGCTTCAAGTGTTCACGTCATTTCTTGATTAATTTGGTTATATTTTCTAGGCAGCCTATTTACCGGGTTAGATGATAAAAGCAATACCTTGTAGAAGTCAACAGCGATGAAATTAGGCCACCGATTGCCTGAGGCTTCATAGCAGGTGTTGATCATGCTAAGCAAAGGAGAAGAATTGTCCTTGCATGATCGAGTTACATCTGGGAGATCTCGAAAGAAGTTCACTAGCACTAGTGATCTTGATTTTGTGTTCATTGGTTGTGATTCTCCTCGATTAGGACACGAACCAGCCTTCATGCCTCCATTCCCATCTGCAATCTCAAACCCCACATTGGAAATTTTGTTAACCTTCAGAAAATAGAGTGCCTTCAAAGAGATACAAGCAATTTTCTAGAGAATTAATTTATAGTGATTTTAGTATGAGACTCACACTGGTTTTCTACAAGGTAGCGCCACTCATAGGCAATCCCTTCAGAAGCTTCCTTGGATGCTTTAGAAGTGAAGACCACTAAACGTTGGTTCTTTTTAATCATATCATCCACTGTTGGCCAATCTCCTCCATTTTTGGGCATTCTGGATACTGGAAACCAGTATTTTCTCAGTCCAGCAGCGTCAAACACCTTTGTTAGGCCTTTTGGCGACGTTACATAATCTTCAATCATAATTGTCACAATCTCTGAAGGGTTAGCTTCCAAGAATGCTCCAATCTCTTTTAGAACATTAACGGCGGGTTGCTATGTAATAATTGTCCCATTCATCATGAATACCAACACATAAGTATATCAGAATCGAACTTAAACACATGCTATTGTTTGTGCTAGGAGTGGTGTTCCTATTATTTCTAGATCAATAAAAATTTATATCGAAGTATCAAGTGTTGCATTATCCAATAAAGACATCAAACGTGTAGCAGTTTTTTTTTCGGAGAACACAAGTTTTGTGTTCAGGTGATTCTTTGATACAGAAAAAAATAATAATCCAATGTTCATACTCACAAAAGCTGTGTAGTTATAGCACTGACCACCAAATGAGTGACATAGCCAAATATCATTTTGGAAGTCATACATGTCAAGCATTAAACCTCTTACTCCATTCTGCAACATAGAAATTTAAGTATTAGCTCCCAACCCAACTATAGCATTAAAATCAGAAGCATTTCAACTTTATTTTGCTTGGTTTTGCCCTGATCATTAGCTTCTTTCATTCCCTGAATTCAATTGCTATAGTGTTGTCTGAAACATATAATGTTACACTCAAGAAATATTGTTCTTAGCAACTGAGTAATCTAACTTACTTTTGCCGTGTAAAGCATTATTTCTAATTTCTTACCTAATTTGATTAAACTAATCTAATTTGAACTTATAACATATGCAAAGGAATGCAGGTCAAAATACACACACACGTGTAAAGAAATCTCAGTTGTGCCCAAAAGATATACACCCAGATGTAACGCATTCTTCAGTTAATTTTTCATAAATTGAATAATTACCTGGGGCCCCGCCAACCTCACAACCACCTTGAGAATGAACTTATTACAACCTCCAGTCTCAAATACAATGCACTTGCTTAAATGTTTTAGTGATCCAAAATATAAGTCACCTTTTGATTCATTAAATGCTTTTTCCTTGAAATGCTTCCCATTAAACATAGTGAGAGAGAGATTCAGAATTAACAAGAGAAAGGTTAACCATTAATTAAAGGTAAATATGGCAAAAAAATATTCCCTCTGTAAAATATTTTTAAACGTTTTATATATATAAAAAAGTTAATTTTTTTCTTGATATCATAAAAAAGTGAGGTGTACTTTTATTTTTACTATTGCTTTTAAATAATAATATAACTATATTAAATATTGTTATGCTAATCAAGAAAGGATAAAATTAAAAAAAATAATCTAATTATTATAAGTTGTCTTATATTTTAAATTAAAAATTACTTTTAAAATGTATTTTATAAATAAAATCTGAAAGAAGTATGTTTTACTATAAATTTAATGAATTTAACTAACTTTAATAAATTTTGTTTGGATGTGTAAAGGTAAGTATTGATATCTTATATTTGAGATGGGAGGTGAAAAAGATAATGTTTTGGAGTTACAGAGTAAGAAAAGTTTAATCTGAGATTCACAACGTGGGGACCCTCTGAATTCTGATGCTGTGACCAGAAGGCAGAAGCTTGACTTTCCCGCCAAGCAGAGACACAATAAATAAGACGCGACAACCGAAAACCGACTGAGAATCATTCATTGTTTTCACATTGCCATGAGATTTATTTGTATTTTGAGTAAAAGTGGGTTTCATTACTTAGAGGGGGAAAAAAAAACAGCTATAGTGATAAAAAACAGACCAGGCTATGAGATCAGCTGTACAAAAGAATAACGTAAAAAATAAAATAGAAAATCAAATGGGTCTATTTGTATTAATTACGAGTAGTGTGGAGTATTCGATAAGAAGAGACGAAGATAACCTACGTTAAGCTGAGAAGTGATTGAATCCTGCTGGTTCATCGGAGCAAGAATCAGAGAGCCCGTCTGCGATTTCTGGCCCAACATGGCAAATGCATTGTGCGTCGTCAGCCACGAGTACCGATTAAAGGGCAAACCTTTTGCCTATTCAAAACACGAGCAACACGTCCCAACACAGCAATGAAATGTTAATAACTCAGTTCACTTACGTATTCGGACGAAATCAAGGAGCGAAAAATCTTGCCTTTGAAGTGGGACTGAAGGGTTGGATGCGAGTACATCTGGGACGGACATTCCCATTTGCCATGCACGTCTCGCAGTGCAAACCGGAATCGCAGTTGGTGTTTGTAAAGCATAATTGTCCCTCCTGAGAAAAAAGAAGCATGATCATTAATCAACGAAAGAGGACGAAGGGGGTTCTAAAGAGAATCTGCACCTTGAGAGCGATGGAGGATCCCAGAAGAAGAAAAAGAAAAGCAAGAAAGGATGTAGCGAGGATGGGTCTCTGCAAAAGAGAAGTCACTTTAAAAGGGAGAATTAAAAACAGAGCTTGAAGAAGAAAGAAAGAAAGAAAGAAAGAAAGGAGCTAGGAGTAGCTTGCCTCCATTGATCGGCAGTTTGTTCAATGAGGGTTATGATGTGGAGAGAATGAATGCGAGAGGAAGGTGAGGATGAGTTATATCTGATATCTCTTTCCGTTAAAGATAGAATAAGAAAGTTGAATTAGAAGAGGGCAACATGTGAATTCTCGAATGAGACGTGCGCGCAGCAGAGTCGGAGCATGCACGAATACCAGCTTTATCTGCCTTCGCGATGTTAAATTAAAATTAGTGCTTCTAAGTTTTAACTGCCACATTTTTCAATTTTCTTTATTTCATTTTAATCAGTTAAAAAACAACTTCTTTTTCGGCCAAGATAAAACAAACCACCTTGAGAAGACTAGTTTGGTGAAGACTGCTCTTTTTTTTTCCCAAAAAAAAAAAAAAAGAAAAGAAAAAGAGCACAAAATACGGCCAAATATGGTACGCTCTTCGTTTCCTTCTAATGGGATGCAATGGCTGAGTTGATTTTAAGTCTTACAAATCAATTATCTATCTATCCATCCATTAATATCTAAAAGCAGATCACCTTTGGAGATCTAAAGAAAGATTCGTGTAGTTCTATTTCTATACTCCAAATCTATATGAATTGAATTGAATATGACATTATTATTTTATTAATCCTTCATTTTAAAAATATTTATATATATGTGTGTGTGTGTATATATATAATTTGTATAGATGTGGATCTTATGAGAAATAAAATTCTATCCAGTACATCAGTGAAACATTCATAGTATTTAATAAATATGATCCTTTATCATCATCTCATATCAGAATCATTTTTATTTGGTTTCAAATTTCGCAGCCACATCTATTTGACTCCTATTTATCTTGCTTGAAGCCTATCGTATCGATCTTCTGTTAATCCATGTTAATAATTAATGTGTATAAAATAGCGCAAGACGAAATTTAGAATAAAATCATTTTCTATTATTTGTAGGACGTATAATTTGGTGTTTTACTGTTCCGGTATCAAATCATGATTATGATTATTTAAATATGGATTAATTTTATTTTTATTTCTTATTTTCAGATGTTGTTAAATTGTAAAAAAAAACCTAAATACTTTAGAAATAAAAAGAATCTCTTCCTTGGATATTGTATATATATGTTTTGCTGGATAAGAAAATTAAAATGAATCACATGAATACATGATTAATAATTTATACATATTGTGGTTTACTTTACATTTTACACTCTAAAATAACACATTATTAAAATATTTTATAATCTTATTTTTTAAAAAATATAAATTTTTAAAAATATCCTTCATTTGATACTCCATATATATATATATATATATATAATATTAAAAAGATAGAGAATATATAACAAAGGTAATATTAAAAATATAATTAATAAAATATTATTTTTGTCAAAGAGTTGAATACCGAAGGCAAATATTAACATATCACTTTTAGGTGTTTTTACTTAATTTTCCTATTCATTAATTGTTCTGCGAATTCATGCGCTTTGCTTGGACATGCCGCAGAGTGGATGTTGGAGTTGCACATTGTGCTGAGATAAAGCAGCTTTCTGGGAAAGCAAAGAAGCACAACAAAATTGCTTTCCCGTGAGGATTTTACAGAATTGCTTCACGCCATCCCTTTCTATTAGAAAGACTTGCAAATCTAAAACAATAAAATATATCATAATCTCCTTCACTGTATTTATTTTCAGTGCTTGCTATGCCCATCTAATATCAACTGCACATGTAATCAGACATGGGAAGCTTAGGGAAATGTTTCTGGCTTTGGGTGCCTTTGAAGTTTTGGTCGGTCAGCCCACCCATACGAACTCATGATTTAAATTCCTAAAACATTTGAGACTTGAATGCCTAATTTATAAATGAGACTCCAAAATTTACAACAATTTAAATTGAGAAAATTTCAAATAAGGATCAAGGATGAAACATAATTACTAGTGGGTTTCAAAATATTTTAAACTTTCATTGTAGTCTAGAGGGATAAAAGTAAAAATAATTTTGATTGTAAAAAAATAAAGATATTCTTCATTTGTTATGTAGAATCATTAGTTGTTAATTTTTTACTTTATTTGTTAATTTATAATATCACTTGTAAATTATATTCATTTGTCAGACAAGCAGTAACATTAGTTGTTAATTTATCAACTTTACTAATTAATTTACTAACATCAATTGTTAATTATAAGAATTTATAAGTAATTTACAATTGATGTTAATAAATTAATAAATAAAATTAATAATTTAATAATTGATATTATTATTGATGATTGAATAAATGATGTAAAGTTTTATATAATTATTGATACGTTAACTTATATAATTTATAATTATATTAGTATATTAATAAATGAAGTAAGAAAATTAACAATAATTTTACATGACAAGTAAAAAGTACTTTAATATTTTTATAATTAAAATTATTTTTATTTTTATCCCTAAATTAAATTAAAATTTTAAAATTTTTTTAGACTTATGTTACATTCCTACTCGTTTAAAATTCTCCCATTTAAATTCCTCCACACGCAGACAAACTAGCGCTATGATTCTTAGAGAGCCCATGGACCAGGCAAACAAGAAGCTGTTACTGCGCTGAGGCTACCTTAACCTTAAGCAGCACACCTCGTTGGATCACAGCTCACAGGTCCCCACAATACAATGTCACATTCTAACGCTGCCATGTCTCATGGTAGGAGCTATTTGCCTATTTCAGACCTTAGCGTCAGCTCTGTTGAGCCTGTGACAATCCTCTTCCTTCTCACTATGAAACGGAAATCCCACGGAAAGGATTGGCCTTTTTTGCAACGATTAAGAAAAGAATCTCCATTTCTATAACTAAACTAGCAATAATTCTCTCTTAAATCGAGTTAGAGCATTGTTGGTGTGTATATGAATAACTAAATGCCAAAATAAAGCTTCAATTTTTATTGTTCTGTCTATCTATCTATCTATCTATGTGAAGAGGCAAGGTATCGATCATATTTACGAACAAATGCGTGTCCTTTATCGAATACCCCCATTTGTGTTTTCTACGCATTTTCAGAGTCACTCTGGGAGTTACTTGAACGGAACTAAAGCTTAAATGTGTAATGTTTACGTAGTTTGGGGAGCGAGTGGCATTCGCATCAGAAGAAGAGCGTCGCTTCTTTTCTCATGCTCTGCCATCTGGAATCTGAACGTGAACCCCACTAAGAGCAACCACGAAATGAAGTTCTGGGTCCCCCTCCCTCCTTCTTCCTCGATGCGCATATATTTAGTAATTACTCTGTTTAGTGTGAGTCAGTGCCTATCAAAACCCTCCCTCCCTCCCTCCCTTTCTTATCCTTTGTACAGCCCCATGCTTAACAGAAGGTAATGGAGTCCCGAATGAGATTATAATATTGACACACTCGTCTTGAACCTTCGTGCCCATTCTTAACTTTCATTGCTTTACTTTCTTCTCTTTCAACTCGACCATGTTCGGCAAGCTCGCGTTTTATTTTGAATTGCTAGCATTTCTGGGAATGCAGCTTCCCCTAACAATGGCAGGTTAGTGGTTCACTCAAAAGTCCTTTCCTTTCCTTTCTTTTCTTAGTTCAGCTTCGATACCTATCCTTTAGGCTCTCCCTTTTTCTGTGTGTGAGTGCAGATAGCGGTGCTTGTAATTGTGGCTTCCTTGCTATAATCGTTACAAAATTCTATTTAGTGACAGCTATCGGAGTCTCATCTCAGGTGAGGCTTGGGGAAGTTGGGAATGGATTCCATTGGATTGTGTGAACCTTTTAAATCTCCTATGTTGGGATTTGAATTTGCATGATTTCTGCCTATAACGAGTCATCAGTGAGACTTGCAATAATTCCATCCACAGTGAGTTAACCAGAATATGAAATTAATTCGATTGATTTCTGATTAACAACTTGAAAAGGAAACAACCCTCAGTCACAATAATGATTATTCTAATCAGCATATTCCCTTCATAATGAGATGAAATAATGTTGATTGAATCCTTCTTTTATACAGAGATCTCCTTTTACTATAAATAGTGACTAGGTTTTGGAAGTAAAAACACCCCAGAATGAACAGTTCTTTAGTTCGTTCTTTCTTTCCTTCTCTCTCTTCTTGGTGCATTTGTTGTGCACCATTGTCTAGTAGTTTACACTTGTGTCGGTTTTTGGGTAGATTCAGTAATGCTTAGATCTGGCAATGCTCTAACTCGACTCCATATTATAATGTTTAATATTTTATAGCTGTGCACTATAAAATAACGTTTAATATTCGTTCATCCTATACGTCCTCCATTTGCATATTTGTCATAAATTTATGAATGTGGTCCACCCTTCTGTGTTAGTCCATTTATAGTCTGAACTCTGAGTCATTACTCATTCCCAAATCCTAATGGCTTGCTTTTAAGGCAGGGAGAACTATCTTGATGGATTAATAACTACATTTACAAAAGCCTTTTCCACAATAACTGTAATAGCGCTTCCTTGAATGTCCGTACAAAAAAATTATTACTAACTTTAGAGCTTGTTGGCCTGAAGCATAACAACTCTTGCATTTGCACCACATGTCATTCAAACTAGGAACAGTTAAAACTCTACACATCTTACCCTGTTTTGCTACTTTTTACTGGTAAGCACTGTAGACTTTAAATGAAAATGTTCTGATGAATTAGGGTATGTCCTATCCTCTTAATTTGTTTTTCTGAAAGATAATATGCAAATTAAAGGATTTGCTACATCTTTGTAATAAATAATACGGCTCCGAAGTGGCCAAAAAATTTCTAAAATCATGTGGTCTTTCCAATCTTGGATATGCCTTTTCTCATTTATTCTTTGTCATGCCTTCACATGTTTGCTTTTTAAGTAATATTTCTACTCTAAATGTCAAATTTAGAGAGTGATAAAAAACTTAATCAGTAATCAATCATTTCATCAAGCTAGCCTCTCGCTGACAAAAAAAATTAAGCTGTCACTGAACGGCAGAATGATTATAAAATATAGTCCACATCATTGTCAATCTTTTAAATGTACTGTTAGTGTATGGTTGGAATTACAGGTGATGAATTACAGAAGATCAAATTATTACCCCAAAAGAAAGACTTTGTGATCTGATTTTGTTGCTGATTTTGCAGATTGTCCTTTGGATTTTACTGGTTCAAACTTTACACTCGCATCCTCTATGTGCTCTAACCAGTTTGAAAGAGGGAAATGTTGCCGCTACATTAATGCTAACATTGCAGTTTCTGTTGCTCGTTTTGCAAATGTAACAAGAAGCCTTGGAGTCACCCTAAATGCTTCTGACCCCTGTCTCCAGACCATATCTCAGACCTTGCAACATTATGGCGTTCCACATAATGCAACAATTTTCTGTGGTTTTGGCACAAAAATCTCAGTTAATTATGAGTGTGAGGGTCGAACTACTGTCATGCAAATGCTGCAGTCTCCCCGATTTGTGCAGGTTGTGGAAAATTGTAAAGTGCCACTGGCTGAGGAAAGTAAATGCAAGAAATGCTTAAATGCTGGCATTAATTTCATACATCATCTGATAGGCATTAAAGATAATATAACACTGAGTACATGCCGTGATGCCACCTTTGCAGCATTGGCAAGCCAAGTTGATGAAATGTCTACCATTGACATTGCAAGCTGTTTCTTTAGGGTTCAAGGGCTTCTCAAACCTCGTGGTAAAAAATTTTAACAAGTGAAACACTATTATATGCATGAAAATTTTCATTTGTGTTATCTTTGTGAAGTAAATGTGAAGCCAATAGAAGTTTGGTGAGTTATCTACATCAGTGATCATAAATTGCCTTCTCAACCACTTAGAGTATCAGGTTCCTTGTCAAGGAGTCAACAAAATAGTTTCATCTATTAAGTGATGGTTCGGAATGGTTTGTTTTAATATCTAAATCATCTTGATAATATGACCATCATGGTTGTTTAAAACTCTTGCACAAAAGTCTTGCTTGTATTTGCATGAATAGGAAATTATATTCAAAGTTCCCTCAGGAACTGAACTTGGCTTGTAAAAACTGGATGAAGTCTAGTTCCATCCAATAATGTGTGCTAAATGGCTGCTCATCTTGATTTTCTTTTCTCCCTATTAAATATTATGATAACATATGAGTTGAATTGTTGTGAATGGAGTAAAACTTGACTGATAAAGTTATTGCAACTGTGATGCTAGTTATAGTGCCATCCCCATCTTTGCCAACTCCTGAGGCTTCTCCTAGTCCAGTGGTTGCTGATAGCCCTAGTCAGTCACTGTTAGGTGCACCTCTTCAAGGAAAGCACCGTTCATACCACTTGGCAATAATTCCTGCTATTGGTATTGCCATCACAGCTATTGCTGCTATCATGCTCTTGGTCTTGGTTGTTCTAATTCGTCAGAAAAGAAAAGAACTAGTGGGGACTGATAATTTTAATAAAACACCTTCTAGTGCAATGTGGAAATTTCAGGAAGGTAAGGCTCTTGATTCTAGCTGCTATTTTATTCTCTCTCTTAGCAGAAACACTCAGAAAACAACTGTACTCTTTTCTGTTTTTTTCCTTCCTTTTTGGGTACCCTTAAGTGGGGTTTTGCAGGTCCTTCATCTATGTTTCGGAAATTCAACTACAGGGAGATAAAGAAGGCAACGGAGGATTTCAACACCATCATTGGGCAAGGGGGGTTTGGAACAGTATATAAAGCTCATTTCCGTGATGATCTAGTGTTAGCAGTAAAGAGAATGAACAAAGTTTCAGAGCAAGGGGAGGATGAATTTTGTAAAGAAATAGAGCTTCTTGCTCGGTTACATCATAGGCATCTTGTTGCATTACGAGGTTTTTGCGTTAAAAATCATGAGAGGTATCTGTTTGAATACCCATATATGTTCTTTGACATCATATACTAGCAAACTAAAACCTTCAGCATGTCTCATGACAGGTTTTTGATGTATGAGTACATGGAAAATGGAAGCTTGAAAGATCATCTTCATTGTATGCCGCTCATTATCTATGTATTTAAAATACTATTTTGTTGGTTGAGAAATAAAATATATATCTCCCTTTGTCGTGCGCATGCACGCCTGTGATCAATGAAAAAACTATGAGTCTATTATGTTTTTTGTTTTATTAATTTTAATCTCACATTTGTACAGCCCCTAGTAAAGCACCTCTAAGTTGGCGAACGAGAATCCAAGTTGCCATTGATGTGGCTAATGCACTGGTAATCTCTCCAGAATAAATGATTAATCTAAGTCGGAACTTTTATCTGATGGCCAAAAAAAAGATAATCGAACTTCATTAGAATTGTCTTCTTTCTATCTTTTATTTAGCTACTTCAAATATATTTCTCATTCTGATTTACGTGCAGGAGTATCTCCATTTCTATTGTGATCCTCCTTTATGGCACAGAGACATAAAATCTAGCAACATTTTATTGGATGAGAATTTTGTTGCTAAGGTTGAGTAACTGTCAGGTGGCATGCCACCATTTCTGTTGTTACTTGTTCATTATCTTATTATATTCACATGGTTCAAAATAGTGTGAATATGGAGAGAATCAATACATTCCCAATCCATGCTGTTAAGATATTTCCTTTCTCATGGATAACTTTATTTCACAGTTAGCTGATTTCGGTCTTGCACATGCTTCAAAAAATGGCTCCATAAGCTTCGAAGCTGTAAACACCAATATCATGGGAACTCCAGGTATATCTTATTCATCTTACTCTTCTATTTTAATTCTCCTTTCTTCTCTATGAAGGAATCGGGATTGAACAAGAACATTCATCAATACTATTAACACCAGGTAAATGTGTTAAATGCGTTACAGGTTATATGGATCCTGAATATGTGGTTACTCATGAGCTGACTGAGAAAAGTGATATTTACAACTATGGAGTATTACTGCTAGAAATTGTGACCGGAAGACGAGCAATTCAAGATAATAAAAATTTGGTTGAATGGGCACAACCATACATGGGACCAGATTCTGTAACTCGATTGATGGAGCTAGTGGATCCTAATGTGAGGGAGTCATTTGACTTGGATCAGCTCCAGACAGCAGTGTCTATAGTAGAATGGTGCACACAGAGAGAGGGCAGGATCAGGCCTTCAATAAAACAAGTTCTTAGGCTTCTGTATGATACTTCAGAACCTATGCACAGTGGGTTTCTTCAAGATATTGAAGGTGAGGAGTGTGAAGGGAATCAGCAGAGTGGCAGAAGCAGCAGAGGTAAAATGCACAGAAATGAAGCATTATTTCAGAGCAAGGATGGAAGATATCTTGCTTCTTCTTCAAGTACATCCAGGTCTTACTGCAGCAAAAGCTTTTTACTTGAGACAAGTTCCCCACAGTCTCCTCTGAATATATTATCTGTCGAAGACAAATATCATTAGGTTCAGCAGCAACTCAAGTCTTACTGGAATTTCACGTTCTCCGACTTATTAAGGATGTGGACTTGTAAAGCATTTATATGTTGAATTTTGGGTAATGAGAAGATAATAGCTATGTCTTGCTTCAATAATCAGCATTGGCATAAAGTTGCAAAATGTCAATCACAAGAAAGAACAATACGCAATACTTGTAGCTATCCCACGCCTAAGAAATATATCTTGCATTTTGAAGCAGACAGTTATTTGCAAAATGCATGTTGAATGGCTGGGAAATCATGTTTTAGCATATGCAAGATCTGCTATGTTCTATTATACTTCAGGAGCACTGCCCTGTATTAATTGTAAATAAATGTTAGTTAATGGATTAAAATGATCAGAACTCTAACCGTACACATAGTATGATGAAACATAAGACACGGATTGAATATACAATGGAAATAAACAACAATATCTAATGATTGAACATATTGGTAAGTAAAAAATTGCTTTAAAGAGTGCGAGTTTAAGTACAAAGGACGAGAAGTTGCTTCACATACATGTACTTGAGTGGTGACTTCTACAAATAGTTTATCAATAGCAAAGGCACTAAAAGAGTGATATTGCTCTATAAGTGCACAGGTCATATCAAATAATATAATAAAAGTAAAGTATTATTTTTTTGAGAATTTATTTAAAAACAATGATCAAATAAAAAACTAAGTGAATTCAACCAAGTTGAGCCAAAACATAATTAAGTGAAGATGATGTTGCAAACTAAATTAACACTAAAAAAAAAAAACAATTGATTCACAAACTTCAAGCATAAATTGAAACCTAAAATTATTTATTCCCCTTACATTTTATAATACTAAAATTATCTCCTCTCATAAATGCTTTTAATGAAAATAAGTGCTAATTTAGGGTTCAAAAAATGCTTGGACAAGCTTTCTCAAATCATGCACAAGTGTTTGGTTAAATTAATTGCCCAATCTCTTATTACAATTAATAAAACTTAATTTGAAACACCAATCCTAATGTGGCTATGCAAGGTTAGCAAATATATCTCTATTTTACTAAAAAAATCATCCATTCACCATGCAAATATTAAATTCTTGCATTATTTTATTCAAGTTCTACACTCAATATAACCCTCTCAAGCATTAATTAAATGAACCCAACATCTAAATGGTGGCAAAACGCTTAAAAGTATTAAGAAAAGAGTAAAATAAATAAATAAATAAATAAATAAATATATATATATATATATATAACATTAATCACAAAAAGATAGGAGAAACTTAGTCTTAATCCATACAAGGGTTTAAAATAATTCTAGAGCAAAGAGTTTAGGTACTTATAAATATAAAAAAGCTACAAATACACAAAATTTTTAACTAATGCTACAAACATTCCTGACTATCTTTTATTGATTTACTAAGCGGTAGCAAAAAAATACAAGTAATTGGCTTGTGATTTACAACTAATTCTAGTAAATTTTTAATTAATGTTACAAATAATTCAAATTGTATTTAGTATATTTTTCAAGTGATTTATCTATATATTAATAGTAAAAAAATCATAAGTAATTAGTTTGCGATTCAAAATTGACTATCATAAATTCTCAATTAATATTACAAATAATCTCAAGTATATTTATTTAATTTTTTAAGTAGTTTATTTGTATATTGATAACAAAAAATTAATATTTACAACTGACTATTGTAAATTCTCAATTAATATTATAAATAATTTTAAGTGTACTTAATAGATTTTCCAACTGATTATTCACTTTTTTTTGTAAATACTATTCACATTTTTTTAATTGCAAGTAAAGATCATGACTTGTTATTAGAATTTTAATAATTCAAAATCTGTAATTGCTATTAATATTCTTATTAGTTCTTAATTGTCATTTTCCTTTTTTAATAATGCCCGCCCCCTTTTTTTTAACCAGCATAATGCTGTTTGCCTCTCCGCGCGCTAGGCTTGTACATAACACAGGCAATTAAGCATCAATCATGATCGAAGTCTACACGTGAACAAGATTTCAAACATGCCATCCATGACCTGATTGCTTGTGCTAAAGTAACTTATGTCCTATCTTTTTCATAAACAAATTCACTTAGTTTGCATGATTAAGGGGGAAAATATATATATATATATATATTTAAGAGTAATTTATCTAATTTAAGCAAACAGTTATTTTATAAGCAAAGTAAGCATAATTATCAAATTATTTTTTTATTATTTTCAAATTCAGAAAAGAAACTGAGTTTAAAAATGATGAACGGATAAACATTTCCCCCTTTGATTCCCTTTCTTTGTTTGAATTATAAAATGATGTGACTTGCAAGGTAACTTCCTTAAATTCACCATTTCATAGCTTTTAATATATGGATCAGCCATGTGAGATGAATTCAATAACCATTGAATATATCCTAAAATGCAATGGATAACTATGTGCTTTGTTTTTTTTTTTTTTTTGGGTTAAAAAGCCATTAAAAGCAACATGGTTTTGAATTTTGGTGGAAACAGGACTGTTTTGGTGGTTTCTGATGTAAAACCAAATAAGCATACACAACTTATCTCAAGGAAGCTTGTGATGCAATTTATGTACCATCTAAACACATATTTCCCATCAGATGGAGGCCAAATTGATGCAGCAAAAGATGAGATTAAGCTCCCACCAACTATTGTACCAACTGTTGAAATAAAAAATGCAGTTCAAAAGTCAGATTACAAGTGAAAACTCAAGAACAACGATAAAGCTAAGCTGTGAAATCATTATTACTAGAACAAAAGGTGCTCCAAAGAAGTGCATTATAGCAGTGATAAAAGGGTAGTCACTTCTTCTATCTTCATACTTATTAGGGACGCATGTACAAGAACTTAGTAATATTAAGAAAGATACTGATAAACTAGCTGTTAGATTCAACTAGAACCTCTCATGACATGAAAGAGCACATATTGGTCCACTTTGCTGGGAAGCTGCCTGCAGTAAGCTTTGTGTTAGGACTTCAGAACCCTCTCAATGGCAGCCACATAAAACTTCTTTGGCATGGTCCCAATCACGGAATCACATTTCTGACCATTTTTGAACAACAAAACCATAGGCACTGCCTTAACTTCATAGTCCTGAGCAATTTGCAAATCAGAGTCTGTGTTGAGCGAAAAGCATTTGAGTCTCCCAGCATACTCCGATGCAATCTCATCAATCACCTGGAGCAGCATCTTACATGGGCTACACCAACTGGCATAGAACTCCACAAGGACAGGGGTTTCACTGTTCAGGATCAAATTTTCCCATAACTCTGTGGTGACAGGTACAGCTGCAACAATTGTAGCTCTCATGGTTAAGATGCCATCTAAAAATTTAATCCAAAAGACACAAACCTTTAAAAGGGAAAAGACACTGAAACCAAGAGTAGGCAAATAAACCATGCCAAAGAATGAAAGTTATATAACTTGACTGTCCTTGACCTTCAGTCAAGTTAGAGAGAGTCAATTCAGATTTACAAATTGTTTCAGTCACCAAGTTAACTGCTTGAGATTTTTTGTCCCTTTGGTTATACTCTACTCTTCTAACAACCAAATAACAGTCAAAAGATGAAGCAATTTGAGGCAATCATGCACAACATAAAATGATGAATAAACAATCAAATGAGATACAGGCATCCAGCTATAATCAGAACATTGTTTGGGCTTATATTACTCCAACTTTGAAACAAGCACTAGAGTTGAGTGTTATCTAATGACTAACGTCTCCACACATCTGTCACTTAGCCAAGGGGGGGTATTGCGGGCTTCATTTGACATTCAGGATTCACCAAAACCGCTCTCTCTTTGGCTCTGGACCAAGAGAGAAATCTCTCTTTCTATATCATCACTTTGCTAAACTTATGCAAATATAGAGCAAGTTGTAAATCTCCAAATACTAATCTCATTAAAAACCATTACTCAAGGTAATCCAGGGTTTAATTGAAGAAAGATTACTAAGTTTGTAATTTAAGAAAATAGAATCCCAAGTTTTCATAGTTTAAAAATACTTTGAAAACTATCTATTAACTTCTGATCAGAGTAAAATAATGTTATGAAAACATAGGATATTTCAAAGGAGTGAAAGGAGTTGAAAAATCTTAAGGTTTTGAAAACAGAGCAGTGCACTGCAGCTCGTGCTCAATGCGTCATGGCTTGCCACTCTCTGTGCCACGTGCCACGGCACAAGTATATATCACATGAACAAAGCAAAGCTTGAAGAATAAGGATTTGGTTAATATGTAGCTTGCCAAAAACCATGAGGAGCCCAAAAAGAGGCACATGAGCAAGTGCAGTTGCCTCTGGTATACAACATCTAATCCATAAAGCTCATCATCTTAAGTTTCAAAGATCGCTAGCAGCTCAAAATTCTATTTAGTTTTGGTGCCAAACAAGAAATTCCATATTCACAGAGAGAACAAAAAACCAGCCACTGAAATTGGAAGAAGAAAAATGCTTTCAACTTAAATAACAACCGACTTCTTTACTTTTTCCACACCAGCTCTGGCTAGTTTTATGCATCAAAGAAACAAGCAACAGACAATGCAACCAATGAATCTCTTTCCCTATTTGACGACGATTCAGTCTAAAACAGTTTCCATAAGTGCATGTGATTGCAAAAAGGGACGCACCTATTGTCTGCTGCATGCACCAAGTAAGATGAGAGTGTTGACCCTTTGTTGTCCTCAGCAATGGAAATGAAGCACGTCCTGTCGGTTTAAGATGGTGCCGAGGGTAGAAGGACGAGAAAATTGGTTTGCCACGGCTAGGAAAGCGAATCACAGGAGGATCAAAGGTTGTAAAATGGGACGTTGTTGTAGCCATGGAAAGACTAAAAGTTAAGCTTGTGCAGTGCTGGGGAAGGTGATCAAGATATGTATAATCAAACACTACTTCCCTTCGTGAACAAGACTGCTAGTCAGTTTGTGCAATTGTCAGTATACTTTAACAGCGTGCAAATGGAATGGAAAATTGTGATTTTGAGTACGATAACAAATATATAATATATAATAAAGCTCATAGGATGCCAGTGGTATACTGTTATTTACAGAATTCAAGGAATTATTAATAATTATAGTTCTTAAATACTAGGAAAATATATGACATAGGGGGAAAGGGAAAAGTATACCGAAAAAGAATTCTAGGATTAAAAATGAGTGAAAACCATTGTTCTTCAAATAAAGGAATAGAATTTTGGCCAAAAAAAAAAAAGAAATAAAGGAATAGAATTTTCTCTTGAGCAAACAAAATACTACCTCCAGTCTCATTTATAAAGCACGTTCTAAAAGATATATTCAATTCTATTTATAAGTCACAGTGTGATTTTTTAAACAATATTTAAAAGATTTTTTAAAATTACTTTTTATGAGAGAAAAAAAATAATTTGATATCACTCTTTAGATTTGTTACATGGGAGCATATTTAAAATTTCACATATTTTTATTTCTTTTATTTTTTTATATTGATATTAATAAAATTAGTATAAATAACTTAAAAAGAAAATCGGAAGAGTGCAAAGCAACAAGAGTTTCAACTAACTATTCTAAAAAAAAAAAAAAAGGTGTGATAGGAACGTGCCGTATTTACCTACCAATTTTATGGTATTCAAAGGTCATTGCTCAGATACTGGATTCTGTGGGGGATTGAAACAAGATTTGGTAGTGATGACTCATGAGACATGACTCATAAATGATGATGGGCATGCAAACAGATAAGCCAACAATAGAAAATAAATATAAATAATAAAGAACAACAAAACACCAACAATTTGTTCATGACTCCTCCTTCTCGCTTACGTTGAGTAAAGGATCGACCTTTCAGGAATTTTTTAAACTTTGAATGAAAGGAAACTCCTGTGGTTAAAAAGCCGCTTTCATTCTGAGATTTCCATATATTTGAAAATTGAAAAATTGTGTTGATATTTTTGCAATTTTTTTGGGTTTTTCATTTAGGGGCCTTCATATGTGTGTTGAATCTCAACCTGAGGAGGGTTAGATTATAAGATTAGACGGGCATGCGATTAGTTGAAAGCTAGATCGGCTGGTCAACATGGAAGTAGATGCGATCCTATCATATCACAAGCAGGCCATTCTAACGATTTTCAGACAACGAAAATTCAAATCTGTGTCTAAATCTATTTCAGGACCAGTTGGACCACTCATGAGGTGGAAAAAGAATTGAAGGTCAGTTTTAACCAGCACAAAAATTAAATTAAATAATGCAGTAAAATTACAATGATACAGTCACACAATTTTTACAAGAACACAAAAAATAATTTCCTTTGAGAATTTGACTTCTGACCACGCTAAAGGGTCACAAGTCACAGCCATTCCATGGGATGAAAGAATGTATTATCCTGGCTTTTCAATTTATATCACTCTAAAACCCGTCTTTCAAAGCATAAGAGAGAGCTTCTTGATAAATACTTTTAACTTGTTGACAACTCTGCATAAGTCTTATATCGGCGAGGGAAAAAAAAAAAACTGTTATAAGTCTTATCACCATCTAACACTCCAGCTTATCAACGTGTTAGCCTCTTTTTTGTTCTTTATTAAATCACAAAGAATGATTTAGAAACAGAAGTTTTCTGATTTATGTACAAAATAAGATGAATAAGATTACAATACATCACATTCTAAACACACCAAATTTGGTGTTTTCTGGGGCACGGTTCATGGAAGCAGAGATGCAGAGACCAATTACTTTTCTAGTGTCCGCTGGATCAATGATTCCATCATCCCATAGCCTTGCTGTGGAGTAATACGGACTCCCTTCTCTCTCATACGCCTCCACTACTTTTGCCCTGAACTCTTCTTCTTCTTCCTTGTTCCACTGCATTACAAAAAATAATAGAACAACCCATGAGATCTTTAGGTGTTTGCCATTAGATTCTTAAGATAATGACATGGTTGACATTAAAGGCTCTTTTGAAAATGACAATAATGCGATGCTGAACAGTTAAAAATATACACATCTTAGTTTTACTATGATAACTAACATCCAAACAAACACAAGCCAGGGAAAATGGGGTAAACAGGAGTTTATCGCTGATAAGTAATATAATTGAGTTTTCTCTTTCATATTATTTTACCTGAATGCCTTGCTTCTTCTTGTTGGCTTTCTCAATTTGGACAAGCACTCCAGCAGCCTGATTATCATTATTCAGAGGACAGTAAGTAAGTCCACACGAGGGAAGTGAAAGTTGCCAATGAATTTTCAAACTTTAATAGTGGGTTTAATCATAAAAAAAGGGTGCATTAGAAAAATGCCAAAATGATGCATCTAACATTGTACGGAATACAGACAACAAAATATTATACATATAAAAAAAGAAATAAAGAAAGGAAAAAATGAAGAGCAATTCTTAGGCGTTCACTATCAGATTCTTCTGTCTACACATGTAGAGTTGGGGTTTTTAAGGACTAAATCGTGCAATGTTGAATTGCTAAAAATGTCCACAAGTGGCATTTTTATTTGTTAATATCATAGTGAATGCCTAAACAACTTAAGTTTCTTTAATCCAAGATATGCTGGTCCAATAAAGCTAATAATTTGTAAAGGATCATCCATGTTTTTGAAGAACGTAAAACAGAACTTAAGCAAAAGCAATAGTAGATAATCCAGCAAATTAAAAAAGAAAAAATCAGTAACAACCAGATATTAGTGACATCAGAACTCCAAAAGAAATACAACATATTCTAGTTCTCTTCCATGACCTCAAGTGAGATGCACTACCTGAGCACCACCCATCACAGATATTCTGGCATTTGGCCAAAAGAACATGAAATTGGGACTATATGCACGACCACACATTGCATAGTTTCCAGCACCGAAGCTTCCACCAACAACTATAGTGATTTTAGGTACCTGAAAATGTTGATGGAAGGCAAAATTTATTATTTCCCCCCAAAGAGTCTGTCATGCCTGAGGTTTACACTTACAAACACACTAGGAGTGATTTATGAAAGCCATCCTGCTTAATTACATAAACTTAAAAAGCCCTAAATTAAAAAAAAAAAAAAAACAACTACAGAGAACGTGTGTGAGACAACAGTAGCATAACTGTCAAGATAAGCAAACATCAGTTACCTAATTAAATTTCTAAACAAGAGTCTCTTAGAATATCAGTATGTGTCACCTTAATAGTTTCTAGATCTTCATAGAAGAGAAGTCAAGCTGATTCACATCATCGACGCATATTTTAAGACACTAACAATTACAAATAGATAAAATTATTCTCAGATTAGAAACTGCAAACTAAGAAAAAAAAAATTATAGATTTATGTTATAACAAGTAGGTAGCTCTTGGGACAATTAACGGTTCTCTTTCACAAGCTATCAAGTATTTAAAGGGTTTTCAGGCATGGGCTATTACTAACCAATTTAATCTGCAATCTATTCAGGCAAGATGAAAGAGCTTAATGTGAAAAATATGACAGGACATAACGACATATCACATTACCAAGAATAGTTTAATTTGACTCAAAAACAAGAGAGAAATCAACTGTTCCTACTCGTTTTAACTAAGATACAAAGCTGATACATACAAACAAGAATTAAGGTTAAGTCATAAAGAAGAGGGTATTAAAAAAAATAATCACGAGGTTGGAAGAAACTAACCTTTGCACAAGAAACAGCCATTACCATTTTTGCTCCAGATTTTGCTATGCCATTTGCCTCAGATTTCGAGCCAACCTATCAAATAAGCAGGTTTGTGACAATTGCTTAGGAAAATTTTAGGTGTAATAAATCTTAAATTGAAAGAGAGAGAGCGAGGGAGGGAGGGAGGGAGAGAGATACAAGTTAAAAGCACGAGAAATGATATAGGATATCTTGGATGATACACAAAATTTTATGTATTGGGAGGATAGACGAAAAATGTTGAGATTCAGTATACCCATGCAGAATGAAGCTTAAGGTAAAAGTAAGATGAATTACTACCTCTGTTTTGAAGTATAAGATGCATTTGTTACTTTTACAGTGAGACTTAGACCATCTTTATTTACTTTATCTATCACTTTTGTAGTCAACTTTAATTGTTGAATCTTAAATTTACAAAATCTTTATTATCTGCCAATTATTTAGCTCATTTGAAATAGTAAACAGTAGGTTTGTATGAAAGGGAAATCATCCACCAAGAACATAAAAGGCAAAAAGCATCCAAGTCAGAATAACAGAGGAGGTAGCAAAAAATCATACCATGAATCCAGTAATGTTCTGAAGGAAGACCAAAGGAATGTTTCGTTGAGTACATATTTCAATGAAATGAGCCCCTTTTAGGGCAGATTCATTGAATAAAATTCCGTTGTTTCCAAGAATTCCAACAGGCTGTCCAAATATTCTAGCAAAGCCTGTTACAAGAGTCTGCATGGATATTGTCTGAGAACATACACATACAAATAAAGCTAATGGTTAAACATCTTGAAAATGAAGAGGCTATGCTCTTACGGTGCCATATAATTTTTTGAATTCATCAAATTCGCTTCCATCTACAATCCGAGCAATAACTGATCGGATGTCAAATTGCTGCTTGAGATCAGTTGGAGCAATAGAACGAAGTTCGTTGGCATCATGTAGTGGCTCTCTATATTCATATTTTACATTTTGCAATTCATTTCCCAAGATGTCTTTCCCAGCCATATGCAAGTTCTTAATGATGTTCCTCCCAAGAACCAGTGCATGTGGTTCATCTACAATAATATTTAAGAATAAAATTCCATATGATCACTGATAGGATTTAAATATGTTTCATTTGCCACCAATCAAAGCCCTTTTCTTTAAATTTGGCTGTGGATGTGTTGGGGGGAAGAGGGAGAGAAAGTACACATACTAAATACCTTGAGCAAAATAATCTGAAACACCTGATGTCTTGCAATGAACACTTGCACCCCCCAAATTCTCTGCGGAGACCTCTTCCCCAGTAGCAGCCTATAAAATCATCTAATTACAGTAAACGCTTGTCATAGAGGCATAGAGGCCACACATGAAAATACATTAACATAAACATGGTGTGGACTATTTTAAAAGTCAACAGAAGATACTACTAAGAAAAAGCAGCCACACACAAAGGATTTAGGGTCACCAGAGTGCCTGAAACTCACCTTCACAAGAGGAGGCCCTGCCAAAAAAATGGTTCCATTTCCCTTGACCATCACACTTTCATCAGCCATAGCAGGTATATAGGCACCCCCTGCAGTGCAAGAACCTAATACCAATGCAATTTGTGGAATGCCTTCAGCTGACATTATAGCCTGGTTATAGAATATTCTTCCAAAGTTCTCTTTGTCCGGGAAGACATCAGCCTGCTTTGGAAGGAAAGCACCTCCACTATCAACAAGATAAATGCAGGGCAACTTGCATTGAGCAGCAATCTCCTGTGCCCTGAGATGTTTCTTAACAGTAATGGGATAGTAAGTCCCTCCCTTAACTGTAGGATCATTCGCCACGAACATGCAAAGTTGCCCATGCACAGGACCTATTCCAGTAACAATCCCAGCAGAAGGCAAAGGTTCTCCATATAATTCATGTCCTGCAAGCTTTATCATTAAAAAAACTCTTAAGATTCCCAGGACCAAGCATCGCCTAACTAAACAATACATGCCTTATGAGCCTGAGTCAGATGCAGAATGGACTTCATATCTGTTTTCCAATTTCCATTGCCAAGCCTTAATCACTCATACAATTTACGGATATGTTTTCTCTTTTCTGTCTCCAACAAAATTTCAAACTCTCACACTCACTAGAGCTTTGCACAAACCCAATGAAAATAATGAGTAAATGAAATATCTTATTTTTGTAAGGAAACCTGTGAAAGCTCGAGGAATGAAGCACCCGGATCAATTAGGCGATCAATTCTTTCTCTGGGTAGAAGCTTATTCCTACTCCTGTTCCTCCTCACTGCCTCAGCTCCACCACCCGCAAGTACCTTTAACATAGCAGACCTTTATACCAAAACGCACGTAAATGATAACACACGGATGCAAAGAGAGAATGAAATCAAGAAGCAACCTTGGCTACGTGAGATTGGAGCTCTGAAATCATGTCCGCCATGGAATTAGAGTTTCTGGCAAAGGCCTCGGAATTGCGGTCAATGCCATCAGGAAGGACCCCAAAGCAGAAGCCCCTTCTGGCAATAATCTCAAGGGTGCTTCCTCTTCGAGAACTTCCATAAAAACTGGACGAGATTGAAGTTGCTCTTCTCCCCAAACCCAATAAGCGCAGCATCTCTACAATATTTTAACTGTCTAGTTCGACAACTACACTAATCGAATGCGGACTCTTTTTGGAACTATGATTTCTCCCTCGGCTGTGTCATTACTGATTCACGGATAAGATCTTGGGGAAAGGATCAACAAATAATGTCAACATTTCATTAGTTTCTTCATCCTCAGAAGATTGACACAACTGAAAAAGGGTTAAAAAAACGAATAAAAAAATAGAAGATAATGTCATCGTTGTACTTTCTGCTTCATTTTACTTAATTTTCGAAGTATGTTAAAGAAAAATGACAACAACATGCTTCTAAAATATATGAACAATAATTCAATCGCTTAAAATATTATAATTTTTTAAAAATTTTTAAAGTTTTTTCTATTATTAATAAATTTATATTAATTATTAAATTATTTTTATTAAAAATAAAAAAATTATATAAGTTTTATCTAAATATTTACAACTTTTCTTCTTATATTCATAACAATATGATAGTAAATAAAACATTTAACATGTGAAGTTATGATATGCTATTGCATAATTGTAAATATAAAAAAAAATTGTGAATATTTAAACAAAATTTGTGAATTATTTATTTTCAACAAGAGTAATTTAATAATTTAAATAAATTTATTAATTATAGAAAAATATTTAAAAATTTTAGGAAAGTTATGATGTTTTAAGGGATCAAATTATCATTTATATATTTTAAAGAGATTTTATTATTATTTTCTCTATATTAAATGTAGCATTTAAAAACTTTGCAATATCAAACCATCAAAAATTTAAATTTCACATTTCTTTTTAAATTTGACAGAATCAATCCTTTGGTAATACAGATAACTATTCTTTTTTTTTTCTTTTTTACCATTAATACAGGTAACCTTTCTACTCATATAAAACTTTATAAGAATAATATCCCAGAAACAAGTTTCAGAAATGGAAGGGTCCCATTTTTTTATAAGTCAAGAGCCCCATTTACACAGGGACCACATTAGAAACTTGAATCGGGCTCATATTTGTAAAAATTCATTCATTCTAATCTCGAAAATTAGCTCATTGATTGATTGATGCAATGCTAAAGATAACAAAAGCTAATCACAAGATGAATGGAATTTTTCTTAGGAAAAATCAAGTAAACTTAAAGATTAGTAATTGTTTGTAGAGAGTGGTTTATAATGATTCATTTATTTAGTATTTGCTAATTTTTTTTTCATTTGATCAAAATGGAAGCCTGAAATTGCAACTATAAATTAAGAGGCAACCATAAGCTGGTTGAATACTCAATGGACTAATTTCAAAAACTTGCTTAGATTGAAAAATTTTAACTAAGCAATCACCTAGACATAGAATTTAGGTACACAAAAGAAGAGATCAACATAGGGTAAAAGAAAACACAAGCAAGTTATCAACGAACTAGGTTTCTACCGATTAATCTGTTGCTTGTTTCTGTCTGATCTTTTGCATTTTGGTAAATGTTGGACATTTTTTATCTATTTATACATTCTTAATAACGAAGAGTAACATCAGCTTTTTTTATCAATATACTGCAAACAATAAAAAAAATCACCTAAATGCTACAACATGAAAGGTATTTGCCAAAATGTTATACCAAAAATTATTTAGATGGGAAACGAGTTTGAGGTCATGAATAAATCATTTAAGCCAAAAACAATTCTAAAGTTGGAAATGATTTTTTTAACAATGAAAAGTGAAATTATTCACTAGGTGAACGATCTCACCTTTTTTCATCAATGTGATATTTTATTCACTTTTAAAAATCTCTGTGATGGTATTGAAGATCTATTCAAAGATAGATCCAACATATCAATAATAATACTAGATATGTGAAAAAAATTTCACCTTCTTCAACTATTGGACAAATCATTTATTTAAGTATTTCTAAATCATTTGAATGAAAATGATGAGTAAATAATTGTTAATAATATGATAAATGATTATTATAAGGTGTATTAAATTGAAAATTATTAATAATAAATAAATAAATATTAGATTTTATGAAAATTAATAATGAATGATTAAGTTATATGAATAAAAAGTAAAAATTAATTTATCTTACAAATAGTGACTTCCAGTATTATATCTTGTTCTCCTTCTCATACGTTGCAGCCATTGTTGTTGTTATATATTCTTCTCTTCTTAAGATTTAAGTGTTTTATTTATCTGTGTAATAAATTAAACCAAGATAATTCAATTAAAGAAATTGATTGTTAAGGAGTAGTATATGCTTCATTTGATGGTTGTAATGCCCTTCTCCTTGCCATTACTAACTCATACACATACCATACTAAGGTAATTAGAGCACCTCATGTGTTTGATCTATTAGTTAACTATAGGTTATTAAATTTTAGAAACTTATTTAGAAAATAGGGATCCTGAAGTTCAATAACAAATTCTCAAAAGTATATATATTATACACAACAAAAATGTTTAGGAATGCATAAATACTATTCAATAATCTTCACCTATATAGAATTATGCGCCGCAGCATGTGATTCATAACCACAAACCCTTACGCTGTATCATGCGTTGTGGTGCATGTATTAGATTTTGCTGTCAAAACAACTTTGCTGATATGAACTTTCACTGCAAACCATTTTCATATTTAATATTTCATTGAGGTAATTTAAGCGCCTACACATCACTTATTTTAAAATTTAACTAATGACACTTTATCTTAATATGATTTTTCGTTTGGAAATTGAACACCCATATGCAACATGACTACTTTATGTCATTTTCCCTTACCCAAGCATCTTAGAATCAAACTTTATGTCATTAGCCATTTTTAAGAGTTTGACCACATCTAATGGGGTATTTCACACCTAACTGACCCCACATATCATCAATAATGACAACACATATAATTTTGGCTAATTAACTGCCCTTTCACACAATAAAGTCTTTTTGCACATTTGTGCATATAAACTTACTCATTTGGCCAACAAATCATATAAACATTCAAAACATACAATTATGCACTTATACAAGTATCTTAATCCTGCTAGCCTCAATTTTCATGTAATTACATATATATTCGAATTTGGCCACAAATATGCCCTTTACACACACAAGACTATCTTTCACACTTTTCCACATATTTCACACGCATAACCAAATTCAACATCACATTATACATTTTCACACTTCAAGGCTAAGACACACATACCCAAGTGCATCTAATATCCCATGCACATATGCATTGCTATAGTAACTTATAAACATATTAATTTACCACATTATAATTCATTACACAAACTCAGGGCTTCTAATAGTATCACTATTCTTTGCCCAGTTCTTTTCCCCTGCTGCAATCAATCTCAAGACCTGTAAAATATAAACTATGGGGTGAAATAAATATCTTAATAACTAAGATAATTCAAAGCTATCTATTAAATAAAATAACTATAAATAAGTAATAATAACTTTATCTTTATCAATTTTTAAAGTTTTCAAATAGCATATACATAACCAGTTTTACCAAATCATTGTTCACACACATATAACCATCCTAAGTCCATCTATCCTTCGTATATTCCTAACTAAATTCATAGATGACTCTGACTATTTTCTAAAGAATTAGTCCTCACCCAACCTTTCGTAGGTGAATCATCAGGCTAAGGTGTTCAATCCTATTTTAGAACTACAAATTCCCCCTTTACACATGCTAGAGGTATCGTTGACTCCTAACTGTAACCTTACAGGTACCAAGGAGTTGCCAGACTACCTAAATTTTTCATGGAACAGTCCCCTAAATTGGCTATAATGTGGGTCCCCTAGTGGTAGCTAATCCATATAGATTTTTTACGCTCATCTCTTTAACACAGGTGAACTCCCACCCCTCTAATGCAAGTGAATGAAAATATATGTATATTTAAATTTCTACATATATAAATCAATAGTTTATTTTTTAAATCAACTTTTACAATGATTTACTTTCTAAATAAAACCCTTTTTTAAAAAACAAAATATGCAAGTTTACAATCATGCTATTATTTACAAATTTCACTCATCATATCATATACAGTTGCTTATAAACAGTTAATCTAACTAATAGACAAAATGAGTTATTCAATTATCTCAATCTTTCTATTACTAAAAAGGGTTACTCGTGGTACTCTTTACTCTATTAGCTTCCTTTTGATCAAGTTACACACACACAAGCCACTCAATCTATACAATTTATTACTATATGTCAATTACTAATTTGACCATAAACGCTAATTATTATAGTTAATCGTTATTAACTACTCAATCACTTCCACTTATTCCTCTTAAGTCCTGATCAATTATTTAAATCTTCTGTTACTTTAATAGCTCCTCGCCCATCCACACAAACATTCTCACTCTTTTAACACCTCATAATTCAGGTTAAATCAAACTTATAACCTCGTAGCTCAACTGAAAATCACTAGACTAGTCGCAAAACCGTAGTTTAACCTTTGAGAACCTTTTTAATACTTATATGTTAAAAAACAAACTCTTAAAACTCCTGAATTCAATTTCTCTATCTCTCAAATTAAAAGAAATTAGTGTAGAATAGAAGCTCATGGAGGTATGAAACTTACTCGAAAAGCAACTAGTTAAAACTAACTCCCGATGCTCTGAGATCTCTTGCCCTACTAGAAGACCCCTCTTCATCTTCTCCTTCATGCTCCTTTTCCCTTTTCTCCTCTGCCCTCATGTCTGATTTACGACCTTATTAATGAGATTTTTGTGTAATGTATTGCAGTGCATGGCACAGCAAGAAACTTCTCATTATAGCTCACCTGCTTCATGCTGGCCTGCCATTCTCCCACTCAATCCTAGTCATTTAACATCCCAACAAGTCAAAATATCAACTCACCATTCAAAATTCTAATTATTCAATCAATTTAATAATTAACAATTTATCCCTCAATTAACATCTATTGTCAAAATTAAGAATTCGGGATGTTACAATGGTCCACCATGTTCCAAAGTAAAAGTATTGTATTCAACCGAAAATAATACAAGATCATCAAGCAAAATATGAATGATCTAAATTGAGTAAAAGTGGGTGAGTTGAAAATGAATTATGATAAGAGTGGCATGTAATGTGACTCAAATTGAATACGATTGGAAAAGGTGAAAGGGAATAATGATAATGAAGAAGCTAGCATATAATGAAATTGACTAAAATTTTGACGACCTTGTTCCCCTGCATTTTTACTTTCAATTGGTGGTTGGATAGACAAGTACCCACCACATCGCTTGCTCAGTTTATCTTGAGGAATCTGTGAACAAGGCAACTCAACTTTTGATGGAGTAGGCTAAGAATCCTTGTTAAATCATTGTTCTCTAATTACAAGTAAGATGTTGCGTTAGTTTTGAGCAATCCTATCTTGATAATCAATGCAATGACAACATTCTAAATGATAATTAATTGCTAGCTTGTATAACCCATCTACTATGTCAATCTAAAATAAATAATAATATATTAGATTATAACACTTTTTTTAAAGGAAAAAAGATGGTATAAATGGAAGAAGGTGAAAAACTTATCATATACCCAATATCATTACCAATATGTTGAATCCATCATCAGGTATATCTCCAATATCAAAGATTCTCGAAAGTAAATAAAATGTCATATCAATTAAAAAAGCTAAAGTCATTCACCTAAAATCGCTCCTAACTTGAATGATTTCACTTTTCATTAAATAAAAAAATAATTTTTGACTCTAAAATCATTCTTTACTTAAATGACTTGTTCACAACTTCAAACTCATTTTTCATCTAAACAATTTTTGGTGTAACATTTTAATAAATACTTTTCACATTGCAGTATTTAAGTAATTTTTTTTAGTGTTTGTAGTATATTGATAAAAAAGCCGACTAGATAAAAACTCCTCTCTTGAAACAGTTGATGGGGCAGTGCCAATGATAATACAGGTATACAACCAAGAAGTTCAACACATCTCTGTTTGATGTGACAAGCCTTCCGTTGCGCTATCCTGTAATGAGTCTTTATATCATATACTGGTTCTCTTAATTACCAATAACTCATGTTTCTGAAGAGATTGAAGTAACGATTGCTGCAAATATTCTAAAGCGATCAAAAGCAAATGTCCTAGTTGCATCTGCAGAAAAAATATTGACACTGTTAATTTTACAACAGACATTCTACTGTAACAGATTATCCTAGTGAGGGACTTGCCACATTAACAGATTTTGCATTGGCTATAGCCAAATTTAGCTTTAATGGAAGGGCAAGAAGTCATACAGAAGTTCTAGTTTTTTAGTATCCTATGAGAATCAGTGGAATATTGTTCGATCTTGAAGTACTTCCGGTCTTCTATGGATGTTTTCGTGTATTATTGATGAATTAACTTGGCCTTTTTGGCAAATAGATTATAGAAATACTTGTAAACATAACTAAGATTCAGTGGAAGACGGTTAGATATTACTTAAGCAGTTCAACAGGCTAATCCTGCAGTCCTATGTGAACAGATTAGAAAATCAACAACACGAAGCAAATACATGGGTTCTAATCTCCATATGCAACCATTAATATACATAAAGCTACCAACCTAATCTAGTATCTAGCATCCCAATCCTTATAACATGACAGTGGCTTCCTCTATTTAACTGTCACTTAAAAACAGAAGACCAACCGGGAGTCTACCATGGTCCTGTAAGTGTCCTTCTCAAGCACTGTCTTTTACCTCCCCATGCCCCTTTCAGTGTCACCAAAGCCTGCCAAAATAAACACAGGAGGGGGGAAAAACAATTATTTGGCCATATATTAGGTGTTTTTCATTATTGTGTAAATCTGTGTGTGTGTGGGGGGGGGGGGGAATGTCTCCTTTATTGAGCGACAGTACAGCATTCAAAATGATGTGAGTCAAAAGAGAATGAAAATCATACCTGATTATTGTTCTGCATTTCCACAAATTTAGCCTACATCAACAGAAATAAAGTCAAAATCTGGCTAAAGATTGTCACATAATTACTACTGATGAGGATGTGGCTCAAAACGATATGTATACCTGCTTTCTTTTTAGTTCTTGGTTCAATTCCTTCAGTTTAGTAACTTCAGCTTCCAGTTCTATAGTGTAGGCCTGCCATTTCCAAGAGATAAAAAATACAATTACTGCGCGTTTATGGAGGGTCAAAGTTTAAATAGAAATAAGAAACTAGTGTGTCCTTCATTGTTAGATATGCTCTAATGATGAAGCCGTAGGCAGAGTAAGAGATTAAATTTAAACCCCCATTCTCATGTTTTTTTTTTTTTTTTGACCAAACCTCCATTCTCATGTTTAAAAAAATACTTTCCTTCATAACTATGACATTAGGCCCTTTACTTTTTTTTTTTTGGGCATAACATTAGGCCTTTACCACGATATCTGCTATGCAATAATCACTGCTTCAATCTGTTGAGAAACTATTGCGGTACTGAGTTAAGACTTTGACAGTTTTGTTTCTGTCGGTATATTGTAAAATTATCAGTGAACGATGCTATCTTTTTGCCCTATAAAGCTGAATGAGTAACGAGAACACTGACACTGACCAGCTTACGAGCGCGAGACCTGGCAGCCGATTCTCTGTTCTTTATCATCCTCCTCTGTCTCCTCTCCACCACTTTCTCTAACGGATTGCTCTTCCTGGGCCTGTTAATCACATACGATACTGGCGAATGCAACGACGCATCCCCCTTACTCCTCGTCACAACCTCCGGTGGCGACGATATCTGACTCGTCGGAGACTTCACCACCGTCAAACCACCTCCCTGAACTCCAATCATTCCTCCCCTCCCGTCAAGCTGAGAATTATTCAACAAATGCATCGGACCAACCGCGGCGGCGGCGGCAAAAGCCACATTTGGCGGTTTGGGGAAAAGCGGTGGCTGCTGGTGCTGGGTAGGGTTAGCAGTGTTTACCTGTAATGACAGTGTGGAAGGTTGTTTGGGAACTGGATTATGGCTATTCACCATCGTATTAGTGTTACCCAAATTCCCGTTTGCCTGTTGAAACCCAAGCATCAAACCAGTATTTTCACCATTGAACCATTGGTTGCCATGAGGTCTTCCAACTTGAAGAGGCACATTATTGTCTTCTCTGACAACGCCTGCTCTTACTAAAAATTCCTCTAATGTCATTTCACCTAAAGTTTGTTGCCTCTGAGGCAAAGCAGAAGCAGAAGGAACAACCCCACCACTATTATCTTTCGTACTGTTAGCCCCACCACTGTCTTTCATCAAGTCCCTCCAAACCTCATCAACAGTTTTTTGACTAAGAGTTCTTGGCAAAGTAAGTGACCCTTGTCTCTGCAAATTACCATTAGGGTTATTATAATAATAGTCGTTGTTGATGATGGTGTTGTTTTTACCACCTTGTCCTCCGTTAGCTGAAGATGACACAGCCAGTGATTGAGTCTCTTCAGCTGTCCATATGTTCTTCAAGAGTTCATCCATGTTCATTGAGCCGAAGTCCTTTCCAAGCCCACCTATTGTGCTCTGAAACTCTTCAAAAGTGAGGGAGTATATTGAAGGTTGCCTCAGGAGTGTGAGATTTGTAGGTGGCTTGATTCCATTCCCGATGGAATTGCGGTTGTCACTTTCGTCGTAGCCCTTGAAGTTCATGCTCGATCTCATCTTTTTTTGAATTTTGAATGAAGACTTCTTCAAGCTGACGAAAGAGGCTTTACTTAAGGAAACTCTTTTCTTGCACAGCAATCGTACTGAACTAATACTAGTAGCAAGTAGATCATGAGTTGTTTTCAGCAAAAAGGAAGAGACAGCTTCTTAGAGGGAAACTCTGTAACAGAAAAAAGGAAGAAACTTTCTAATGTCTTCTCTCATGATAAACCTCTGCTCAAAATAGATTGCCAGGGACCGTTCCGAGGTTAAATGAAACTGCACGCTTGTCAAAAGCGAGAGAACAATAAACAATTGAATCAAAGAATCTTTTCATGTACAATCTTGCAGAGGTACGAATTACAGCCAGCCACAAGTTCCAGAAAAAAAGCCCAAGAAAGGAACTGAAAGAATTTCACACAAACTAAATAATGGAGCTTGACCTTCCAAATACATTTAGAATGCTTTATGTACAATTGCAACAGTATGAAGCCAAAGAAGCACAATGATGAAGCCGAAAACCCCATCATACAGGCAATGACTGACTTCCCAATAATCGCGACTCAGATAGATTATCTACATTGTAATTTGTTCACCTTCAAGTCCCAAACTCAGTAATTCATAACTTCTGTAATCTCCCGATTTCAGCCACCCAAAATATATATATATATATATATATATATATATTGCCAACCAGGAAGGGATTCGTCCAAGTTTACACTCTGTTCTGTTTTACTAGGAACTAAGTTTACGCTACTCACGACTTCCAAACACTAAACCGTTTTTAGACCTTTATCCCTACAACCAACCAACATAGATTATGCTCTTTTGGGATTACTTTAACTAAAATTTCCCTTTTCTAATACATCAATAACCCGTCTCAATTTTTTTCTTTTTCCACACTAAACAACCAATTATGGGAGCTCCCTTGTTCCCTCCACCTATACATCTAAAAGTAAACCCGCCGAGACCAAGCAGAGCTCAAAACTTTTTTTGTTTTACCTCCAGCGACCAGGAAGCCCCTTAACGAAGAAGAAATTAGGAAGCATAAAAAAAAACGGAATGTCCCGTCCAATTTAATCCCCAGAAAAGACATCATGAAAATTAATATATGGGAATAATTAGCGTAAAACGAGAGAGAGAGAGGAGCAAAATAAAGTTTTTTTTTTAGCCTGTGGTAAAATAATTACCTTTTTTTCCCTAAAATTGTTCCCTGTTCTTCCGTGGAGTGAGTGTAGCCGTGTAGGAGTGTCGTGTGGAAGCGATCTCGAGGGAGGGAGATGGTGGAGGCGACAAGTGTCTTGAGCCGCTCTGACTCCAGTCGGCCATTTAAGCAGAGAGCTGGGGACCGAAGTGGGAATTTTGTATTTTTGTGAGACTTTATGGATTAATTAAAATATTGGGGAAATTGGAGAGGATAGCCAGAGAGATCTCGAAACGTGGGCCAATCAGAGAGGAGTAGAGGCTGATTGACAGGCCTCCAATAAGAGTAAGAAAGGTGGAACGATCTGCACCGCTGGATTGTACTTTCCGACAAAGTTTTCTATGGTGATCCTTTTATAATTTTTCATCGATGAAAGTGAAGCCAATCACTTATCATGTAATAATTTATACTATCGTTTTGAAATGGTGAATAATTAATTAATAGCATTGTTGTGTTAGTTATTGTCGATTTTTTTTTTGTTCTACAACTCTGTCTAAATGTAAGCAAATTTTAGTCTGGTTTGATAATTTTAAAAAGTTAATTAAATATAATAATTATGTTTAAATTTTAAAAAATTAAACTAAAAATATACTTGCAATTGACCTTTGTTTTTTTTAGCGTTGTACTCAATCTATTTCAAATTTTTAAATATTTTTAAATAAAATTATACATATCAATAAAATTTATTGAATATAATTTACAAAATTATTATTTTAAAACATAAATATAATTTTTTAAAAATATCTTTTATTTATTATAATTTTATTTGTGAAACATTAAATATCAAAAAAATATAATAACAAGAGAAGGGTAATATACAAGTAAGCATAATTCATAAAACTTTATTTTTATTAAACTATCTTGTATTTTAGAATATCAAATAACTTTCAAATGTCTCTTATAATTTTAAACAGTACTATCCATTTATAATAAGTAACTTGAGAAAAATGTAATTACTCTAAATTTTGCAGTTTTGTCCAACACTTGCTCCTTGTTTTATTTAGTACTCCTTAATTTTTATTATGAGGCACTTTTTTTTATAAAAAAATTATCTTTAATATAACATGTTTGATGGATATTGCTTTTTCTCAATATTGTTAAATTCATTAATTATAAGAGAAGAACGTAATGAAAATTTGAAATCTTTTATTTAAATAAGGGTAAAATTAAAAGTCTATTATATTTTAAAACAAAGTTAGTTAGAGGTATCTTATAATAAGGACCAATAGAGAGTATGTTAATAGGGAATCAATAAAATGTCAAACAATATACTAATAGCCTAATAATAAATTATATGTGTGAAAAATGTAAGGAAACAACTTACATACTTAACTTTATATATTTAAGGGTGCTTGTTTTCAATTAAACTAATACATGTGAATGTTTATAAATTATTTATTCCATAACAAATTTTTTTATTAATATTATTAACACATTAAAATCTAGAAAAAAAATTGCCATGAAACCCCTCATCAAGAGTGAAATTGTTTAGAGAAATCAAGACCAATTTAAAAATCAAATGCACACCAAACATATCACCTTGCACAAAGTATCCCAAACTTATCACCTTGTATCCCAAAATCAATTACCTTGCACCCCCAGCCTATTATTTTGTGGATTTGGATTCAGTAACTGTACTAAATACAGCCACCGAAATCTAGATCAATCATTTAAATAAAGTCATTTATTTATTAATCTTAAGTAGGGTGTGAATTTAGAATTGTTGATTTGGATTTCCATAATTTAGATGCTAAATGCGTTTAATATTTGTATCAAGTACAATCACTGGATTCAAATCTATAGCTTTATTCATTACACACAAAGCCTATTGTAACATCACAATTCTTAAGTATAAATTAATTAAGGGATTATATACATTTAAGGATGTAATTAAGATTCAGGATTTAATTGAGGAAATATGTATGTTAAGGAGTCAATTTTGATTTTATTGTGATTTTGAGGTTTCAATTGGAAATTATGTATGGTTAAGGTTCATGGATGGTAATTAATTACTGAGATATTTAATTATGGATTAAATAAGGCTAAAATCATATTAGAGTGTTAATTAGAGTCTAAAATTGTGGGCTTAAGTGAGAATTGTCTATTCTATCGTTGATCGCTCATGGATGAGCATTACATAGGACTAGATAACTCAATGACATTGACAAGGGTGAAGGCTATTTTAATTTGAGTTCTCCACATGCAGAGAATTTTAACACTATCACAACCGCACAAGGACAAACGTTTTTAAAACAGTCCTTATTTCACTTTTCAGATTAGAACGCAAGAAAGGAAAAAGGGAAAAAATAGGGATCTTCACCTTGGCTCTACTAGGACTCAATTTTTTGGTGTCTTGGAGCTAGATTTAAGCCTTGCAATCCCTTGAGGTAAGTTTTTAACATTCCCCCCATTATTGTAAATAGTTTTTCTTAGATTTGAGGATAATTTTCTGATTACAATTTTCCTATCGAAAAGTTAATCCAAATTTATGATAAATAAATATGATTGTTGAAAGTATAATGAATATTATAGAATATTGTTTTAAGGTTGGTTTTTGGATTTAAAGGTTATAGGTTAAACCCTAAGCCTGTGTTGATGAGTTTGGAAATAGATTCAAATTTTTGAGATTATTTTCTAATAATTAAATTATTTATTTGGGTATAGATAAATGTTTGCAGGGCTTTGAAATGTTGATTTAAGGCTTGAGATGAAACTTTTGATCTTTTGAGCATTTTTTGATGAATTTAAGCATAAAGAAGAATAAAATTTTGACATTAGAAGTAATTTGAGAGTTAATTGTAGTTTATTGGTGTATGAGGATTGTAAGAAGAAGTGTTGGAAGGTTGGTTAATGTACTAACCTTAAATTAGTATCAATAATGGGTTTAGGAACTTAGTGTCACGGGCTGAGAGTCTGGCGCAGCACACGGCGCCCGTGCGGCGTCCTGGAGGACCCCATAATCCTCAGGACAAGCCTTACCACGTACGGATCACACTGGTTTCGCCCTGCCATGGGCTCATCAGGGAGGCGGCACTAGCCCCCGACCAGTTGTGCACACAGTCGAAGACTGAGGCAGAACACCCCCAATGCTAATGTCGCCCCCTTTACCCGTATTGTGCGAGGCTAACCAGCGGACCGTTCATTATCTTGGTCTTTACACGGTCACGGAAATATCATCCATGACATTAGGCTCTCTAACTCTATAATTATAGTTGTTTGTTTCAAGCTTGAAATCGATGCTATGTAATGTGGAAAATTTATGTAGATTATGTTGGCAAAAGGTGTGGTGGAAGAAATGTTGTAAAAGGAAATTTATTATTCAAGCCACAAGGCAACCATGATTAATATATGGTGGTATGTATTTTGCAATTGATTATGCATGGTTTTATTGTGTTTGAAAAATTATATTGTGCTTGTTTTATTATTTGAAAAATTTATTTCCAAGTAAGATAATATACATGTGTAATTATGTTTGGTATAAAATATTCTGCTCAAAAGTATGCCAAGTTTTTTAGATATAAATTACAATTTACATGAGTTGTCAAGTTTTTGAAATGTGTTGTTAGGAATTTTGTTCGAAAACTACTTACCACTAGTAAGTCATTATTTGACTCAATGAGTCGCTAATAGCTTAAACTAACTCAGCTTTAATTGAGTGATTTGGTTTCAAGCACGATGTATGGAGGGATATAAAGTGTCATTATGCTTTTTTCATAATTCAGTTATTTGGATAACATGTGTTTGAAAATATCTTATATGCTTTACTTAGCAATCATATGGCTAATTGCATCACATGTATCATTGTATAGTAATTTTTATTACTAGAACATTTGTTTCTCATTTCACGTGGTTAACATTTTTATAGGAGCAAGTTTAGCAAGAGAAGCATCGAAGGCCTAGACTTGGTATATGAGACATAAGTTCTTTTGTTTTGCCTCTTTGGATTAGTAATTTATACTCATCAACCTAGGGAAATATAGACTTTATATTTTGATTGACTTTTCATATGCTGGTCATGAGAATTATGTTTGTCCTTCATGGCCATAATTGATTACCTAGAATATTTATATTATAATTTAACATTGAGATGTTATTTAAATATTGTTATGCAATTATGTTGAGTGGTTGTAACGCAACTATAACTTTACTTTATCAAGTCTAGAATGTGTTTGGCTAAATGATGTTAGAAGTGAATATGTTATGGTCAAGTTGTTCACCATTAAGTAGACTTTGGTTGAGTCATGTTAACAGTTTGAGAAAAGTAATGTCTAGGTCTACATTGGGCTTTAATTATTAAGTTTACATTTGAGAAGTGGTATTTATCTGACCAAAGTCCCTTATTAAATGATTTGTACTCTTTATTACCATGGTAGTCCCTTATTTACCATGATAGGGCTTTAAAATATTATCTAGAATCTTTTCTACCATAATCAACCTTTATTTACTATAATAGTATTTTGAGAAATAGGTTTTACTTTTTATTACCATGATAGACACTTTTATATTATAGTATGTGTTTAATGGATAAAGTTTGTAGTGAATTATATAATTTTTGAAAAATCAATATAAAATTTTAAATTTTACATTTATCACCTTATACACCAAGCCTATGACGTTGCACCCTAAGCCTATCCTTGCACCCTAAAAAGAGAAGTGCTATTCTAGGAAGTGGGAGCGCACATGAATTTGAAAAGCTTTAAGTCATGTTAAGCTTCTCAAAAAAACTAAGGTGCAATTATGTGAGCACCTTAGGTCATCCTATCCTTGAGGAGCAAGCATTTTGCAGTCAAATCAATCCAATGACCATAACAAATTAAAATTTCAAAATTGAATTGAAGAATTTAAAAGAGAATTTAGATGTTTATGTTTGATTTTAATGTGAAACAAATAAAGAGAAAGCATGTATAAATCAACCAAGTATCAAAGTAGCTTTTCAAGGTTAGATTCCACTACTTTCATCCTTGTTCTTCATCGCCTAGTTTTAAATTCAATTATCTTCTTCAATATGTGAAGGTGTTTTAATGATCATTAAGACTAGGTGATAGTGATTAGAACCTAATAACCACTTAAAATCTAATGTACAAATCATCCAAGTTAGATACACCAATATGTGATTTAATCCTTGAAACTAGTT